TCCTCCAGAATGTCACATGGAAGAAAGGACAGGTTGTTTATTATTTATTGAGCCCTCGGAAGTATTTCGAGGTAGGTTTATTTTGTTTATTAGACCTTGTTTGGTTTTAAACAAGAGTTTTATATTTTTAGGGTCCAGGGTACGGACTGTGTCCAAGGTGCGGACTGTGTCCAAGGTACGGACTGTGTCCAAGGTACGGACTGTGTCCAAGGTACGGACTGTGTCCAAGGTACGGACTGTGTCCACGGTTCCATCACATCCTACTGCTACTAGTTCTTCTAGGTTATATTCATTGCTTTCGAAGAAGTTCACAATACTTTGACAAATGCTTAGAGCCTATACAGAACTGGGAACTGTGGACCCAAAAATATAGAACCCGGCTCCTGAAATAAAGAAATATGTTCTTCAAGTACAGTTCTTCTGTGGGACTCGCCTTCAATATTTTCAATAATATAGGTTTTATCTTTCCTTCCGTCAAAATAAATGGCCTTCAAAGTTTCCGAGGAGTTTCGCTTAAAACTGTTCCTTGTTTGCTCTCTTGCTCTTCTCAGCTTACAACGATCTGTAATGTTTTTTTTTATCGTCTTTGGTAACAATTCCACGGTCGTGTAGCACTGCCGTTGCCACTGCTTCTGCAGATTTATCTGATAGTCCATAGCGGTCACAAACTTTAGCCAGGTAGGAAGTTTGACAAAAAATTTTGTACACTGGATTTTTCTCTTGATACTGTCATAGGAAGTGGAAGGCAATTCATGATCAATTTCTATATCTGTCGATGACTTTCGCTTTCTTGATAAATTGATGTTGCTTTCATGTTGGATGGATTATTGTAGTTCTTTCCGTTGCATATCTTTTTCTCTTCTGCTGGCCTTGTTTATCAGCTTTGAGGTTTCCATTATATCAATTTTCCCAATAACCATTTTTCTAAGCCCCCTCTGATCTATCAAAAAAACCTGTTCATTTTTAGGTACCTTTTTTCCTTTTCGCAAGAACATTGGTCAAAAAATTCGTATTTGCATGCGCTGTTATCAAACAGGCAAGCATTCTCGGTTTGAAATTCTTTTTTTCAATTTTTAACAGCCGGTAGAAGGCAGAAGACGTGATTTAATCAAAAATATTTAAATAAACTTTTTATCAACATTACTAAAGGTAACTTTTGGTAGATATTCCAAATTGATCTTTATAAAAAAAATTTTTTCATTTTTTAAGGGCTGGTAGAGGGCAGAAGATGTGATTTTATTAAAAAGTTGTAGTAACACTTTTTTATCAACATTACCAAAGGCAACTTTTCGTAGGTATTCCAAGTCGATGTTTTAAAAATTTTAAAATTTTGAGATTTACGATCCACCCTATTGTCCATTCTTCCAAGAAGGTAGAACGGTTCTGGTCTAGTAAGTAGAGTGTTCACTCCTTTTCTAACTAGATTGTTTGCTTTTTAATTGCCTTATATCCCTAACACACAAAATACTTTATTATCTTTGAATAACTTGTTCAGCTTCTCTAGGCATTCTTGACCAACTTCGAATTGATGGTTACTGAGTTGGTCACTTTTAATGCTGCTTGACTATCGAATAAGATGGTAATTTCTTGTTTCCGATAGTTCCTATCTAAGATAAGTTATACGCATCTTTCGATAGTGTAGATTTCTGCCGGAAGGATGCTGGATACCCGTTGGTACGAGGTATTAGTTATTCGAGTTCTGGCATACTTTAACTTAAGATGTTGTGAATTTAGAAATAAAGGTTATTTCTAAAAACTTTATTATAAAATTAAAATGGTGAAGAAATGAAGAAAAATTAAAAATCAACAATAAAAATAAAAGATTTAAATATGAAGCAGATATCAGGAGAAATATTAAAATAAAGGAAAACATTTAAATTTATTTAAAAATTTACAAAAATGGGCAACGAAAAATATTTCTCTTATATATAATATAATTTAACTAATCGTTTGTATACAGGGTTGTTCACCACATACGACACGGAGTATTGTAGCTAAACGATGAGATTTTTACAATTTGTAAGTTTTGGGTTCGATGAAGGACTATCTATTAGAGGTACAATTTAAAAATAATTTTACAAGATACAGAGTGTCCCAAATAAGTAAAAAATATCAAAGTTGTATTTTTTAAATGGAACACCCTGTATATTATTACGTTTTTAGCTTCTACGATTAAAATAAAGGTAAATTTGATTAATGCTTTGTGATAATTTGTTTTTGAAATATTTTCAATTTTGTGAAATTGCAGTAAAAATTTTAAGGCTTCATTTCTCCAAGGGTATCAAAGTTTTTAATACTAAATATTTACTGAAGTTTATTTACTGATCAGTTATTGTGTTGCAATAATAAAAGTAATACTACCTTATACAGAGTGTCTAAAAATTTATTTTAAATAATTATTAGCTTCAAACGGCAATAACTTGTTTAATTTAAATGGAACACCCTGTATATTTTTTCGAGAATCAGATGCACAATTTAATTGTCTATCAAATTATATTATACCATTTTTTACCTATCTCTTTAAGTTTCCGTAGAAAATGTATTTTCTTGTAATTTAGAACTTATTTATCAATATACCCATGGACTATTGACATTTTAGATTATTTTTAAAGATGTACCAAATTTTTAAAGAGTATAGATACTAATATTGTCGATATAATTCGTTTATTTCATTAAAAAATAAAAAAAAACTGTTTAAATATTTGTTAAAGAGGATCAGTTAATATGATTCCAGTATTCAAACAACATTAACTGACTGTTTGCTTTGATTAATAATAATTGCTCCAAATACTAAAAAACTGAATTTTGTATGGGCATTAGACAGTGTGATAAAAAGTAACACCTTAAAAATGATATTTCATTTTTTAATAAATGCTTATTTATAACTACAGAGACTTTAATTTGATAACTTATTATTATATTGATTTCTGACTCAAATCCACATTTATTTATAATAATTTAATAACGAACACAATTAAGTATGTAATTAATTAGTATATGGGCGCAAATAATGGTGTTATATTTAATTAATGGTATACTCTTTTATAAAGATTTAAATAGTTTTCTTTTTGCATACAAATGGGCTAGTAATATTATCGTTTTGCTAAAAACGATAATATTACTAGTCTGTACATTTTGTACATTTGTTGCTTTAAAAACAATCTAAAATGTCAATATTCCATGGATATATTGATAAATGAGGTCTAAATTATAAGAAAATGCATTTTCTACGAAAACTTGAAGGGATAGGTAAAAAGTGGTATAATACAATTTGATAGACAATTCAATTGTGCATCTGATTCTCCTAAAATATACAGGGCATTCCATTTAAATTAAAGAAGTTACTGCCGTTTGAAGCTAATAATTATTGAAAATAAATTTTTAGACACTCTGTATAAGGTAGTATTATTTTTATTATTGCAACACAGTAACTGATCAATAAATAAACTTCATTAAATATTTAGTATTAAAAACATTGATACCCTTGGAGAAATGAAGCTTTAAAATTTTTACTACAATTTCACAAAATTGAAAATATTTCAAAAACGGCAAGGTTTAAGTCAACCTTAATCAAATTTACCTTTATTTTAATCGTAGAAACTAAAAATGTAATAATATACAGGGTGTTCCATTTAAGAAAATACAACTTTGATATTTTTTATTTATTTGGGACACTCTGTATCTTGTAAAAATATTTTTAAATTGTAGCTCTAATAGTCCTTCAACGAACCCCAAACTTACAATTTGTAAAAATCTCATCATTTAGCTACAATACTCCGTGTCGTATGTGGTGAACAACCCTGTATATTAATGTTTCTTCTATGTGGTTATTATCTTCCTTTAATAAGTTACTACATTTATTCAAAAGATAAAAAATGTGTATGGCCCCTATATTTATAAACTAATAAGATAATCTAACAATTCATAAAATAATAATTTTACAAAATTAGACACAATCTTTATATAAAAATTAAGAAATACTGAAAAGTCATACTAATAAAATTGTGATAACAGACATATTGTATTATTAAAATATTAAAGAATGTCATTTTTAACGCGGTAATTCTTCGCCAAACTAAACAATGAATATATCTTTTTCCTCGTTCCCTTTTAAGGTTGAGTGGTCCTATACAGATAAGACGGCTTGAAAAGAAAATCTTGACACAAAAAATCGTCAAGGATAAATGAAGGAATGCTTTATTATTTCTTTTAGCCCCGAGAGAAACGTTTTTATTTCGGTTATAGCGATCTTTCTATGTTGAAATTAAAGGACATATTTGGAAACTTAACATCATATTTAATATTATTCTCTATAGATTGCATGAGAAATAAGGTGTACGAAAGTATGTATCAAAACTTCAAATAATTGAAATTTATCTTCATCCAGGACATTCAACTATATGTATAATTTAAACTGAAAGAGTTTTCCATTTTTCAATTTCCATTGTCTTTATTTATATTGCTTACACAACGTTTCGGTCGTCAAAAGTGCTACTGACATCAAGTGTATCTTTACTGGAGCCGAGCATTCACCGTGAATTTGTTGGGTGCCGTCAAGGCATGAGGTTTTCCACTAAGAACACCTGTATTACACCGTTTTATGAGTGGTTGCCATATTTTTATTTAAAGAGGCCGTAATCATTTCTAACAATAATAAAATCGTATAGGGGAGATTGCCCCAGTGCCGGACACCTAAGCTCTTTCCCTTCTATTTTTTTGAAAAAAAAGTCTACAAAAATTTAGACTGCCATTGGTAGAAGAAAACCTAATTAATATATGGTAGTAAATTTAAACCGATATGAATTCAAATAGACAGTGAAATTATAAATTTACGGCAGTATTGCTAATCACTTTGTAAAAAAAAACTGTTCCCAGTACCGGACAATATATATTTTGAATATTAAACCAGATAAATAAATTTACAAAGCTTTATTAGAACAGATAAACGAAGAGATTACAAGAAATAATACTACTCTTACTAATTCATACTTCTTAATAAGTTATTGTATGCAATGGTCACAAACAAAGTAAAGAATATTATCATTATCAGCACACTCTACATGAGCCCACCCATCACATCTTGAACATTGGACCCAGTCCTCCTCAAAAGTTTCACCGCAAATGATGCACTCGGTTTTGTTAGAAGCCTTTTCGTCTGTTTTCTTTTCTTCAGCTTCGTCTATTAGCTTTCGTTTAACAGATAGAAACTTTTCAGATTTGGTATTGATTTTGTGTTTTTTATTATTTCTTCGACTCTGTTTTGTTATACTTTGTTTTTTTAACTCGACCTGCTGTTTTACTTCTGCTTTGTCTTCAAGCATTTTTTTATATGGTGTAGAAGTTAATATTTCGCTTTTTTCTCCTTTCCTTTTCCTTGATATTATTTTTCTCTGTAGATCATCAGTAACTGGAGAAATCTGACTGATGGCATTTTGGAAGACTGTAGATGTGGAAGGAATTGCCTCATCGTCGACTGACTGAAAGAAGTTCATTGTTTTGTCGGTAAATGTGGAGATTTCCACTTTTTTTCCACTTTTTTCATTGTAAACTTCAGGTATGGAGGGAATCGAACCATCAATGATTGAAGATGAAATATTTGTTTCTTTATTACGAGATCGGGGCTTCAAACTTACGGTAAAACCAACAGAAGAAGAAGTTAGCAGTTCCGTTGATTTAATTGTGGAAATGGAGGGAACTATTTTGTCAAACGAAGTCTGGTTTAGAGATCCGGAGTCTAAGCTAGTAGACGGGGTTAGTGAATTGTTTTTAGGTTCATGGTTCTCTTGATTGTCGGCTTCTAATATTTTTGTAGTGTTTGAAGCAGGAAGAAAATCTAGTTCTGTAAAGATATTTTTGTTTAAGGGATATATCCCTGTACATTGAAACGCAGATTGTGCCAATTCCATTCTACAATTTTTTGAAAATGCAGTTCCAACTAAACCACTGATTTCTTGGACAGTTATTTTTAAGCCTAGTCTTCCGTATTTGCTCATCCAGACCTCACATGCTGCATTAAATGCACCTTTAAACGGTTTCATAATAGCTCTGTCCAAAGGCTGCAGTTTGTGTGTCGTGTGAGGGGGCAAACTTAGCATGTGAACGTGGTGTTCTTTTGCATATAAAATAACTTGCAGATCTTTATGTATGCTATGGCCGTCTAATATTAAAAGAATTGGGTTTTCGTCAGTCAGATTAACTCGATCCACGAATGCATTTAACCATTTTAAAAATCCTTGGACAGTTATCCATCCACTTGGATGAGCGACAAAAATGCTTCCAACCGGTGCATCTTTCGTAAGTTTAACATCCATTCTTTCCCTTGGAAAAAGAAATAAAGGTGGTATAAATTGGTCTCCTGTAGCATTGATACAAAGCATTACTATTATATTTTTCCCTCTTTCACCAGATATTAGTTTGCTGACCTGTTTTTTCCCCTTTAATGACAAAACCTTTAGTGCGTTAGAATGTACCACAGATACGCCGGTTTCATCGCAGTTAAAATCCTACTTGGGGAAAACGAATATTTCTCCATCAGGTTCCCCAGCTTCTCAAAAAAGGCCTCAACTTGTTTCTTGTTAAATCCTTGCGCTCTCTGAAGGCTAGTTGATTGGGCAGAACGCAACGAAAATTCTGGATGCCGGTTAATAAACCCACGATAAAATTTATTTCCTGCTGTCTTTTTTGTTTTACTAAATTGATGCTGTAATTTGAAATGCCCAGCGAGATCATATGCTAACGTTAAAAATTCCTTTTTGTTGACTGGTAAAAAACGATTATCCGAATCCTTAAGGTGTCCCGCTAGTTCATTTTCTAAGTCAACATTAAATGTATTTTCAAATCTTCCTAATGTAGGTGTCATTTTAACGGTATTTCCTTTTCGGAGAGTCGTGACCCTGTCTCCTAAAGAACTTTTAGGAACAGAGAAGTGGAACACTGCTTCTCTAATGCTATATTTCCCTGACAGTACATGGTCCACAGCCTTTTTCATGCTCGTTTCATCCCATTTTCCCTTTTGTTTATTTGGCATGATTAATATGCCTGAAACAACAAATAATAGTAATAATGACGGCTATAATCTGCCTATCACGATCAATTATTTTTTGTCCGGTACTGGGCAATGTAGGGGTGTCCGATACTGGGGAAATGTCAGCGAAAGATAAAATACGCATTGAACATAACCTAGAAATAATTTCGTCCGTTTGCGCATGTGGTTATAGTCCCCAATAATGTAAGTTGTTATATAAGTTATTAGTGAACTACTAAACTTACCTTTACGTATTATATAAGGGGCCTAAAGTTTACTCGAATCACTTGAAAACACCCACGTAAACACTTAATCACAAATATCTCGACAACGACATGAAATAAATGGAAATGGCGCGAAATATGTAACGTACATATAACGTTTTAAGTGATTTTAATAAGGAGTTAAAGCCAATTCATATGGAAACCAGAAAATCAAAAGTGTCCGGTACTGGGAACTGTCCGGCGCTGGAGCAATCTCCCCTAGTATATATCTTTATAATAAAATTATATAAGGATTCTTGCCACTTAACTGCTGATATAGAAATTTAATTCTACGCTGTGTTTGATTTGGGATCTGCCCAAGCTCACCTGATGATGAAGTAGGACTCCGAAACCGGTTGTGAGAGCAGGTTGATTCGCATTATGACAAACACAGCGTAGAATTAAATTTCTATATCAGCAGTTAAGTGGCAAGAATCCTTATATAATTTTATTATATTCCTATACTGCAAGAAATTTGATTTCTATTTTATAATTTGGCTTGCCTGAAAAAAAGCCTTTTACCATCCTTTTACTATCGATAGTTGCGCTTCTCGGTGGCACGAAAGTACTACCATTGCACGCAGGCCGCTATCTCCCGTTCGGGACTTAATATCTAACCGACACTTTCGGACAAGTCGGAATTAACTATCTCTGCGCTGTGGTTGTCATTTTGTGGATCTGCCCAAGCTCACCTGATGATGGAGTAGGGCTCCGAAATCGGTAGTGAGAGCAGGTTGATCCGCATTATGACAAACACAGCGTAGAATTAAATTTCTATATCAGCAGTTAAGTGGCAAGAATCCTTATATAATTTTATTATATTCCTATACTGCAAGAAATTTGATTTATATTTTATCTTTATAATATAAGATATAAACTCAGTAGTTTTAGGATTTAGTTTAGTTGACACTTGATAACGGTCAGTGATACTTCTGACCGAAACGTTGTGTAAGCAAAATAAATAAAGAGAATGGAAGTCCGAAACTCTTTTAGTTTTAATACTGAATCATTGTCTACCACACCATATTTGGCTTAGAGTCGTTTGAGGCAAATGCTCGAGGTGGGTAAGTGTGTCCATTTCTGCATAGGGTAGTGATGCTTCATTAATTTATGCATACTTGGTATGGTTGCCAAAGTTAATGCTACAAACAACCTCAGCACGGTTCAAAGATTTGCTGTTTGAGATTAAAGGAGCAATGATGAAAATCAACGCTCACTGCATCAATGGATGCGCTTCTGGACCTTTGGTCTCTTCACATAGTGGTCCAAGCGACAACAAAGGACTCTATCGACAACAAAGTGCGTTGTTCTTAGAAAAAAGGACGGAAACAAACCACTCCCATAGAATCCCTGGACCCAATAGAATTTCCCTCAAGATGGGGGTTACATAGGGGGCCTCTACTCCAAATGAAATCGAGCCAAATGACCCCCCTTTATTACTACTACAAACCATTCGAGTTTAGAGAGTTTAGTTAGAGACTAAAATGCATCAAGGAGTGTGGACAGATTCAACATTTCTTCAAGACGGACTAACCTGGTATGTAGACGGGCCAAACTTACAGAACAGGGGCTGGAGTGTTTGGGGAAAGACTAAGAGCAATCTTATCTTTTTCCTTGGGTAAACTCAACAGTATATACTCAACAGTATTCCAGGCAAATTTATATTCTTGGCCATTATACAATGAGCGAGAGGAAACAACAGAAGGGGAACCGACTCAGAGAAAATCTAATCAATATACAGGGTCAGGCAATAGTGCGCCGGGCATCTGTATCTCCTAGAATAAAAAACTTGGGAATTTTGTTAACTCAACAGTATTCCAGGCAAAAATCTTTGCCATTATACAATGAGCATACAGGGTCAGGCAATAGTGCGCCGGGCATCTGTATCTCCTAGAATAAAAAACTTGGGAATTTTGTTAACTCAACAGTATTCCAGGCAAAAATCTTTGCCATTATAGGAAAGAATTAGAGGAAACAACAGAAGGGGAACCGACTCAGAGAAAATCTAATCAATATACAGGGTCCGGCAATAGTGCGCCGGGCATCTGTATCTCCTAGAATAAAAAACTTGGGAATTTTGTTTAAGTGCAAACCTAAATAAAGTATGTCAAAGGATGTATTTCAGGCAAATATTTTAACTTCTAGAGGGTGGCCCAAAAAAGTATGAGTGGATTGGGATATTTTTTTTTAAATGGAACGCTCTGTATATTATTGCATTTTTGGCTTCCTTCCAGATCACTTTACATACTCCTAAAATATAAGTAAATATATTTCGGTAAATTCAGAGATATTAATAAATAAACAAAAAATATTTATTTTTTAAACCTTCCTTAAAAAAAATATTACAAATACGAGAACTGTCCTGAAATCAAAACTATATTAGGTATTTACTTTAGATGGCCTATACTTTCTTTGCTATAAATATCGTAATCTTAAATCTTACAGTGTGTTCAAAATTCTACGCCAAACTTTTTAAAATATAATTTTTTTTGTTTTTTTTTTAATAGAACAACCTGGAAGACGAACACCCGCAAATACAAGCAGTATTATCTCATATGGCTCTTTAAACTGTAAAACATGAGAGAATAATCATTGGGGGTCTTTGATATAAATTTACTATGGAAGAGGCCATATGTAATATAAAACCGCGAATATCTGCGAAACCGCTAAAAATTTTAAAATACTCTAAATATAAAAAATGTTTATTTTTTAATTATCCATCTACTGAAAAATTAATATACAATGTGTCCCAGAAATAAGTGCAAGTATTGTAAGGAGTGGTAGATCTGGTTAAAAGAACCATTTTATAAAGTTTAAAAGGTTAAAAGAAACATTTTTTCTCTTTACCGTTTTTCAAATAAGTCCAAAATAACCGAGTTATTTTACTTTGAAAATTTCCAAAAATAAATATTTTTGCTAAAATTTTCAGAACCACTGGATCTTTTCTGGATTTTCTTTAATGTAAATTTAAACTACCACCTATGTTGCCATATTATGAAGAAATTATGTTTTTTAACCTAACACTAAAAAATTTCCAAATTTTTTTTCGCAAAAAATACCTCATAGGCGTGTTTCTGAGGCCGAAATATACTACCAGTTAAAATACTTGCACTTATTTCTGGGACACCCTGTATAGGATGTTCGATTTAAAAAACCCGAAGAAAAATTATTTTTAATTTTAGAAAGTTTCGAGTAGGATTTTGAACATCCGTATGATTTACCATTACCATATTTATAGCAAAGTAAATACAGACCATCTAAAGTAAGTACTTATTATAGTTTTGATTTCAGGACAGTACTTGTATTTTTAATAATTTCTTCAAGTAGGGCTGAAAAAATATATTTTTTATTTATTTATTAATATTTCTGAAACTATCGAAATATATTTACTCATATCTTAGGATTATGTAAAGTGATCTAAAAGGAAGCCAAAAATTCAATAATATACAGGGTGTTCTATTTAAAAAAACTCATCCCGATCCACCTACAATTTTTTGAACCACCCTATAGAAATTAAAATATTTTCCTGAAATACGTCCTAGTACATACTTTAGGTTTGCACTTAAACAAAATTCCCAAGTTGTTTATTCTAGGAGCCACATATTGCTGACGCACTTTTGCCGGACACTGTAAGTGCTGGCAGCCAGGCGGCCGCGGCAGTTATATAGGCAATTATCAGCAAAAAAACATCGCCGAAACTTGTCTGAAAATGCCTGTATGAATCTGAAACTCAGGCTCAGCTATGTTGAGACACAGGTTCCCAATAGATCACCGAAGTTAAGCGACGTTAAACAATGCGAGTGAATGGACGGGTGAGCGTCTGAAAACTATGTCATGGCCAGAGTGTAAAATCTATTGACACACACTAGTCATTCACACCGGTTCGAGGCCGGATGAAATCGGAATCTCGTGAGCGAGAGTCGATTTAGACGCCAAGTCGGTGGGCCATTGACAAAGACTATGCCTTTGTCAACCTTGTAATGAAGTTCATAAAATTTCTAGGACACCTTGTATATTGTGTTAA